TTGCCATAGTAAATTGGATTGTATTTGTAGTTTCTCTTTCTGATTGTTCACTATTGGTGTATAAAAATGTCACTGATTTCTGGATATTAATATTTTATCTTCTACTTTGCCAAATTCATTTATTAGATCTAGTAGTTTTCTGATGGAGTCTTTTGTTTTTTTATATATAATACCATGTCATATGCAAATAATGACAGTTTACTTCCTCCCCTCTAGTTTGGATGCCTTTTATTTCTTTTGTCTGATTGCTGTGTCTAGGACTTTTAGTACCATGTTGCATAAAAGTGGTGAAAGTGGACATCTCTGTCTTATTCTTGATCTTAAGAGTAATACTTGTAGTTTTTGCCTGTTGAGTATGATGTTGGTTGTAGGTCTTTCATATATGGCCTTTATTATTTGAGTTATGATCCCTCTATTCCCACTTTGCTGAGAGTTTTTAATCATAAATGGGTGCTGGATTTTGTTGAATGTGATTTCTGCATTTGTTGATATGATCATGTGGTTTTTGCTCATTTTATTTATGTGATGTATGACATTTCTTAATTTGCAAATATCGTACCCACCTTGCATCCCTGGAATAAATCCCACTTGATCATGGTGTATGATATTTTTAATGTATTGCTAGATCTGATTTGCTAATATTTTGTTGAGGGTTTCAGCATCTATGTTCATCAGGAATATTGTCCTGTAATTTTCTTTCTTAGTAGTGTCTTTATGTGGTTTGGGAATGAGGATAATGCCTGCCTTGTAAAAAGAGCTTGGAAGTCTTACCTCCTCTTGAAATTTTGGAACATTTTGAGAAAGACAGGTGTTAGTTCTTCTTTGAATGTTTAGGAGAATTCACCTGTAAAGCCATCTGTTCTAGGACTTTTGTTTGCTGAGAATCTTTAGATTATTGCTTCAATTTCATTAGTTGTCCATCTATTCAGGTTTTCTGATTCTTCCTGATTCAGTTTTAGAAGATTGTATGTTTCTAGAAATTTGTCCATTTCTCCCAGGTTGTCCAATTTATTGGCATATAGTTGTCTGTAGTATTTTCTTACAATCCTTTGTCTTTCTCTGATGTCAGCTGTTACTTCTCCTCTTTGTTTTCTGATGTTATTTATTTGGTCCTCTCACTTTGTTTCTGATGAGTCTGATTAAAGATTCATAAATCTTGTTTATTTTTTTCAAAGAACCAATTCTTGGTTTCATTGATCTTTTGTATTGCTTTCTAGTCTCTGTGTCATTTATTTCTACTCTGATATTTATTATTTTATTCCTTCTATATATTGTGGACTTGTTTGTTGTTCTTCTTCTAGTTCTTTTAGGTGTAGGTTTAGATTGCTTATTTGAGATTTTTCTTGTTTTTTTTTTTTTTTTTTTTATCTTCACCCAAGGACATTTTTTCATTTTTTGTTCAGATAGAGCAGGAGGGAGAGGGAGGGAGGGAGAGAGAGAGAGAGAAACATCGACATGAAAGGGACACATCGAGTGGCTGCCACCCACACAACCTAACCAGGGCCGGGGACAAACTGCAACCAAGGTACATGCCCTTAGTGGGAACCAAACCTGGGTCTCTCTGGACTGCAGGCTGGCGCTCTAACCACTGAGCAAAACCAGCCAGGGCTTCTTGCTTCTCGAGGTAGGCCTGTAATGCTATGGATTTTCCTCTCAGGATTGCTTTTGCTGTGTCCCATAGATTTTGAGTTGTTGTGTGTTCATTTTTATTTGTTTCCAGGTAATTTTGATCTCTTCCTTAACCTTATTGGTAACCCATTCATTGTTTAATAACATGCCATTTAGCTTCCATGTGTTTGAATGTCTTTGAGGTTTAAAATTGTAGTTGATTACTAGTTTCATGCCTTTGTGATCCAAAGATGCTTGATACGATTTCACTCTTGTTGAGTTTGTTAAGACTTATTTTGTGTTCTAACATGTGGTCTGTCTTTGAGAATGTTTCATGTGAACTTGAAAAGAATGTATATTCACCTGCTTTGGGATGAAATATTCTGTAAATATTAATTAAATTCATCTGATCTAGTGTGTCATTTAAGGTTGCTGTTTCGTTGATTTTTTTGTCTGGAAGTTCTATCCAGTGATGATGTGGGGTGTTAACATTTCCAATTATGATTGTATTGCTGTTGATCATTCCCTTAACTTTCAGCAAAAGTTTTAAAAATATATGTAGATGCTCCCATATTGGGTGCACATATGTCTACAAGGGTTATATCCTCTTGTTGGATTGATCTCTTTAGTATTACATAATGACTTTATTTGTCTCTTGTTTTGGCCTTTGTTTTGAAGTCTATTTTGTCAGATATAAGTATTGCTACTCCAGCTTCTTTTTGGTTTCCATTTGCATGGAATTTTTTTTTTCATTCTTCACTTCCAACCTGTGTGAATCTTTTGTTCTTAGGAGTGTCTGTTATAGACAGTATATACACAGGTCATGTGTTCTTATCCATTCATCTAACTTATGTCTTTTCTTTGGAGCATTCAGTTCATTTACCTTTACTGTTATTTTTGATAGGTACTTATTTATTGAGATTTTATTCTTCATACCTGTGTTCCCCCTTTATCTATTTCTTCTTCTTCTTCTTCTTCTTCTTCTTCTTCTTCTTCTTCTTCTTCTTCTTCTTCTTCTTCTTCTTCTTCTTCTTCTTCTTCTTCTCTCTTCTTCTCTCCCGTCCCCCCCCCTCCCCCTCCCCGTCCTCTTCCTGTCCCTTTAACATTTCTTGCAATGCCGGTTTGGTGGTAATGAACTCCTTTAGCCTCTTTTTGCCTGAGGAGCTCTTTATTTTGCGTTCAATTTTATTTTATTTTTTAAAATGTTTTAATTTACTTTTTAGAGAGGAAGGAAAGGAGAGAGATATAGAAACATCAATATGAGAGCGATATATTGATTGGTCGCCCCCTGTGTATTGAGCCCCCACTGGGTATTGAGCCCAAAAACTGGGCATGTGTCCTGACTGGGAATTAAACTGGGACCTCTCAGTCCGTGGGGCAATGCTCAATCCACTGATCCACACCAGCTGGGTTTGCCTTCAATTGTAAGTGATAGCTCTTCTGGATAGAGTAGTCTTGGCTACAGGTCCTTTTCATTATTTTGAATATTTCACACCAGTCCCTTCTGGCCTGCGTGTTTCTGTTGAGAAATCAGTTTACAGCTTATGGGAATTTCCTTGTAGTTAACTGTCTCTATCTTGCTACCTTTAACATTCTCTCTGTATCTTTAATCTTTGCAATTTTTATTATCATGTGTCTTGATGTGGGTCTCCAGGTTCATCTTGTTTGTGACTCTGTGCTTCATGAACTAGTGTAAATTTTTTATTAACCTGGTTAGGGAAATTTTCAGCCATTATTTCTTCAAACAGATTCTTTATTCCTTGCTCACTTTCTTCTCTTTCTGGTATCTCTGTGATATAGATGTTACATTTCATCTTGTCCCTAATTTTCTTTAAACTATCCTCATTCTCTTTAATTCTTTTTTTCTTTATTGATGTTAGAGAGAGAGGAAGGAAGAGAGAAATAGAAACATCGATGAGAGAGAACATCGGTTGGCTGCCTCCTGCATGGCCCCCACTGGGGATTTGGCCCATAACCTGGGCATGTGCTCTGATCAGGAATTGAACTGGTGACCTCTTGGTCCACAGGCCGATGCTCTAACCACTGAGCAAAACTGGCCAGGGCTATTTTGACCATTTTTACCAGCATTTTTATTGCTTTTAACTTTCCATAGCTGTTTGTACACCTTGAAGGAAATTTCTTTATTCTGCTTTGAATTATGATTATATGAATACTTGTCTCCCACTAGAATATAGGTTTCCTTGGGACAGGAACTTCCTCTGGCATATGCAGTGCCTTGTACATAGTGAGTGTTAAGTCAGTTACCCGTTGGGAAAATGTTCCTGCATTTTTTAGGTGTGGTCAGAGGAGACGAAAAGTCCGTGCATGCAAGGTGACCCTGCTGCCTTTAGATCTGTGTTGGCTCTGGAGCAGGCAGCCGTCTGCAGGTTCTTCTCTGGAGACAGCATCAGTTCAACCCCGCTGTTTGTCTTTAAGTTTTGGAGTTATTATCTTAGAATATGGATTGATGAGTCCATTCAACTAATATATAAATTCTGCTTGTCATGTGTGAGGTGTGTTGGGGCTGTGGACATGGTGACAGAGTCACAGAGTCTCTGCCTCCGTGGAGCTTACGTTTAGAGGAGAGACAGGCCAAAACAAAAATGAACCCCCCCAATTAAGTACACATTGTGATAAGTATCGTGAAGGAAATAAAATGGCGTTGAGATAGCAGATATGAAGATTTAGTGCACTTACAGTAACGACCCTTTCTTGCAGTGTCTTTGTATTTTGGCAGATATCTGTCCTTTTGTAATGTAGTCCTCGGTGTGTTTCCATTCTTTGTCTTCCCAGGGTTCTTTCCCAGGAGATGTGTACATACCACTTTAGCTTTATGTCCACTTCCATAACATATGTAGAATTCACTGCTTCGTTCCTGCTCTCCTTCGGCAGCATCATTCATCAATGCAATGGTCCTTTTGCTGTTTGTTCTCCTAGACACTGTTGGGGAAGACCTGGGTCAGATATGAGTATTGGGAAACTGCTAAATTTTTAGGTGAGTGTATAAAGAAAATACATAAAGGCACAGAGAACTGGTGGCTGTAGGAGTCCAGTTAGAGTACTGGCTTGGCATAGACATAGGAAGGAATCCACTTGATTGTTGGTTTTGTCTAGCTGTGTTCCTGAGTGGAGACCGCTGGGTGTGGTTGGCAAATCAGAAGACAGAAAACTTGGATTTTAAGTTTTAAGAGGAGCTCTCAAAAATCAATACTGAGTTTATTTTCCATTACTAGTATCTAACATGTAGTAAAACTTAGCCCGAAAATGAGACAAAGGCTAGGAAAATGCAAAGTGGTGAGTGTCCGTGAGTGTCTAGGTAGCTGGGGCACAAGGGCATGAGAAATACCCTTGTTGACCTCACTAACTGGGCTGTTGTTTTTCTCTTTGGCCAGTGTTTGTCCAGCATGATGCTGCCCAACTCTACCTCACAGTCTGGAATCTAATTAAGGGCCAGATCACTGATGTGGACTTGGTAAGATTCTAGAACTAGAGAACTCAGCAATTTAAGATGCTGCTCATTGAACTCATTCAGCAATTGTTAATGTAATGTGTAGAGAGGACTAAAAGAAAATCTTATAAAATGTTTATCACAATTCCATAATATTATTAATGGTATTATTTTGTACCTTTTAAAAAATGTTTTTTATTGATTTCTTTAGAGAGAGGAAGGGAGAGAGAGAAACATTAATGTGAGAAATATCAATTGGCTGCCTCCTGCACGCCCCCTACTGGGGATGGAGCCCACAACTTAAGTGTGTGCCCTGACCAGGAATGGAACTGGGACCTCTCAGTGCATGGGATGACACTCAGTCCACTGAGCCACACCAGCCAGGCTATTTTGCACCTTTTTGAGTGGTGGCTGCCATTTCTGGAGCTTCTGTCTGGTGGCTCCAACTTCTGGAAATTGTCCTGACCTGGTCTGTTTATGGTCTGTGTCCTGCCCTTCCCCTCCTCTATTCTGCAGGTAGAGAGACTGCAGGCCCTGTATACGATCCAGATGAAGGAGTCCTTGATCTGCCTTGAGTGTACCATGGAGAGTAGCAGAAACAGTGTCATGCTGACCCTCCCACTTTCTCTTTTTGATATGGACTCAGCGCCCCTGAGGACACTGGTGAGGGGTTTCTCTTGGTGAATTTCCTGTTCCTGCACAGCCCAGTGTTACAGTGCCCTTGCTTCCCTTGCTTCTTTTTTAAAATTGAATTTGTTGGTTCACAAAAGCATACAGGTTTCAAGTACACAACTCGATAAAAATCATGTGCGCACCCACCACCTGAAGCAAAGTCGCTTTCCATTCTCGTTCTCCCCCTGGCCCACCTCCACCTGCCCCCGAACCTCTTTCCCTGTGCTATCACCACACTGTTGTCTGTGTCTGTGTATTATACATATTTTTCCTGCTTAATCCATTCTCCTTCTTGCTTCTTTAGTTCACTATTTGGGCTTCTTTAGGTCACCCCTGGCTTTTAAAAAGTCATTTCTGTTTCTTTTGCTTGGCTCTGCTGAAGTTCTCATTTGATTTGGCCAAAAAAATTTTTTTGCCCTCCTACTTCTACTTTCAAGTGCTCCCTCCTGTTTTTTTTTTTTAAAAAACTCTAATCAGTAGTACTTTTTGAGATCCTGACCCATGCACCGTCTGGGCCAGACATTAAGGGGGACATGGAGATAACGAGCTCAATTCCCCATCTGCAGGGTGAGGGTCTGTATTCCAGATGGGAAATGCAAACCCTGCTTTTCTGCTTGTTCTGGGACAGGAGGATGCCCTTCGCTGCTTCTTCCAGCCCAGGGAGCTGTCGAGCAAGAGCAAGTGCTTCTGTGAGAACTGTGGGAAGAAGACCTGTGTGAAGCAGGTACTACTCTGTGAATCTGGATTCTTCCTCAGACTGGGTGCCAGACTGGGTGCCCCCAAGCTTCCTGAGGGGCTCCTCACCGAGCCTGCAGGGCAGCTCGTGGTGGTGGAGGGAGGGATTTGGGATTTGGCCCATGGAACCTGGGCTTCTCCAATCCCATCACTGAGAGGGACAGAGCCTGTTCAGGGTAATAAGAGAAGATCTAAGAGCAGGGGCAGAGAGAGCAGACCCCAGTGTGGCCTGGATTCAGGGCCTGTGCAGGACCTGAGCTGCAGGCCCTTGTGGGAGAGCTAACCAACAGCCAGGGGCGCCTCCACTCTGTGCTCATATGATCATTCTGCTCATATGTTTAGTATTTTAAACAGACATAACATTACATTTCAGGAAACAATTAGAATAAAAGATAACACTTCAGAAACTGCACTTTGTTGACTGAAAGTGTACATATAGATGCTTAATAGAGGATTGCTAATACACTCTTAATTTTGGATAATTTCACAATCATGCAACTAAACAAACCTTGGTAATAAATTAGCGATGTCCCATATTAAATGTTATAACAATATTTAGTATTCTAAGTTTGTCAATATTTAAAGTTTTTAACATGATGAATGTGCTTTTTTCTTGTTAAGTTATCTAGGTGTGATTGGTACCAATGCTACTAGCAGGAGATAATGTCATGTATCTAAACTGTTTCTATGTTTTATTTAACAACACTCATCGCAGAGAAATCAGCCTCCCAAATGTATGTTTAAGGGAATGGAAGAAGATACTTTATTTGTAATTAATGAATTAGTTAATTAATTAAATTGTTGGCACTATTACAGATGTCCCTGTTCCCCCTCCCCCTTTGCCCACCCCCACCCGGCCGCAACCACCCCCTCCCTGGCCTTCACCACTCTTTTGTCTGTGCCCATGGGCTGTGTATCTGCTTCCCTCCTAACATACCATTTGCTGTGGCATTCCTCTGAATGTACCCATTTCAAGTGTTGTAGGACTTCATCTCCACAGTGATTTTGCTTCTCTAGGTCTGTAAGCTGATGGATTTGCCCCAGACCTTGACAATCCACCTGATGAGATTTTCCATCAGAAATTCACGGACAGAAAAAATCTGCCACTCACTGTATTTCCCCCAGAGCTTGGATTTAAATCAGTTTCTTCTGACTGAGAAAGACGTCAGCAATGCCGAGCACCAGGTAACATGCTCCTCACCTCCCATCCACCATCATCTAAGTAGACACTATGTCCTTTGGATTTTGACCCCTCCCTTAAGCTGCTTGAAGTTACCTACTCATCAGAAATGGCATTTTTGGGCGTCTGATCTGTGTCATTCTCTCATCTAAGAAATTACGTCCTCTATAGGCCACATTTAGTGTACAAAAAGGGAGGAAAACAGCTGGATGCAGTTCATAGACATTTTCCTATATTCAAGAAACACTTATTTTTTTTTTTTATCCTCACCCGAGGACATTTTTCCATTTTTTGTTCAGGTAGAGTGGGAGGGAGAGAGAGGAACAGAGAGAGAGAGAGAAACATTGATGTGAAGGGACACATCGAGTGGCTGCCACCCACACGACCAACCAGGGCCGGGGACAAACCGCAACCGAGGTACGTGCCCTTAGCGGAACCGAACCTGGGTCTCTCCGGACCGCAGGCGGACGCTCCAACCGCTGAGCCAAACTGGCCAGGGCAAGAAACACTTATTTTTTAAAACAGTATTTTAATTATAGAAAACTTTGTGTTCTTGAACGACTATGGTCGTGCTATCACCATGCCACAACCACCACCACCACTATCACTGCCACCACCACCACCACCACTACCACCGCCATCACCACCACCACCACTACCACAATCACCACCACCGCCGCCACCGCCGCTGCCACCACCACCATCACCACAACCACCACTACCATCACCACCACCACCACCACAATCACCACCACCACCACCACAATCACCACCACCGCCACCACCGCCGCTGCCACCACCACCATCACCACAACCACCATCACCGCTGCCACCACTACCACCACCACCAACACAATCACCACCACATCACCGTCACCACCACCACCACCACCAGCACCACCATCATTTTCTCTTTGTAGCTGCTTTTCTTTTCTTTTAAGATTCAAAAAACTGTATGTCTCAAATTGGGTTTGTACTCATATGCCTCATAGCATGGAGGGAAGGAGCCTTGCTTTTAAATAAGATGTGCTATACTTACATGTACATATGTAAATACAACATCCTGGGTTCTAAATATAACACCAACCAAGTTTCTTCTTAAAACAGCGTATGCCCACTTTAAGGATCATAAGGAAGCAGCCAGTACATTGGACCAAATTTAATCAAAGTAAAGTTGAACTCATTTGTCCTGAGCTAATAACTTACGGGGAAATTCTGAGAAAAAAAGTGACATAAATATCTTTTCTCTATATGTTTGAAATTCACATATATATATATATATATATATATATATCAGTTTTTGAAATGTTTTGTTCCATTGGTCTATTTAATATTCATGCTCTACTATTTTAAGTATTAAGGCCTGATAATATGTCAGAATAGCTTCTGTTATAATCTAGTTTATTTACCAATTCAGGGCCTATACACTTTATAGAATTCTCATTTTCTCTCCTAGTCTTCTTTATGACAGTTTGCTTGATGAAGTATATCTTAAATTTTTTTCTACTTTAAATGGCACTCCCTGGGGAACCACCAGTGGCTTCCCTGCAGGTCACTGGGGGAAGGGATAGAACCACCAGAGGGAGGAAGCCCACGAGCAACAGAATTCAAAATGGTGCGGGGGTGGGGTGGGGTGCTGGACCGTAGAGGTCTGTCGCGTTGCCTGGAGAAAGAATGGGTTGCTTAGGAGGTGGCCTGGTGCAAGCCAGGGCGAGCTTGAGAAGTTGGTTATTTTGAAAAAGCTCCTGGCCTTCCCAAGCCAGAGAAAATGCAAGCCCCGGGAACGAGGAGCTCTCCTCTGTGACGTGCGCTCGCCCGGTCTTTCCCGCAGTCTCTCACACAAGCGTGCGGGCTTAGCAGCCCTCCCGGGGCCTCCGGCAGACCTCGTGGGCTTCGGAGGACTAAGCTTTAATATGAAACAGAAGCTCTGGACACTGGCCTTTGTTTTGGCCTTGATGAAGACAAGGCTGGATTTTCCATGGTGGGATGGAGAAAGATGAGACATTGGAAACCCACAGGCAGTCTTCTGTTTCAACCCAAATAAATCTTGACACACCACAAAACAATAACAACAACACACACACACACACCCATGACTTTGTTATGGAAGATTTTGAATCTACACTCAAGTAGGGAGGAACGACGCACGAATCCCATGTCCGCCTGCAGCGTAGGCCGTGGCCAGCCCTGCCGGCCAGTCCTCTCATCTGCGCCGTTCCCCCCCCACCCCACTGCCTGCGGCTACCCCAGTCCATCGCAGACACCCCACCGTTTCATTATGTCCCTCTAAAGAATAAGCACTCTTTTCCAAACATAACCAATTCTACCTCATAATTCCTTAACATCATCTAATATCTAGACAATGTTCAGATTCCCCTGACTGTCCTGAAATCTGTTTGGTTTGAATCCAGATATAAAGAAGGTCTGCACTTGCATTTACTTAAGTTTGTTCCTTCCCTCCCACCCTTCCTTTCTCCTTTTAGGTTAAGTTTCATACTTTATGTTGTTTTCTCCTTTTCTTGCAGTTCAGTTGGTTGAAGGGTGTTTTATAGATATCCAAAATTGGCCGGTTGGTGTTATTTAACGTGTTCCTCTATCCCTTGTTTTTCTTGCAAACTACATAGATAGATCTAGATATTGCCTTGCATTTTTAAAATCCAGCATAAAGTCTCCAAAGGAAAATAGCGACCAATTTGAGCTCTGCCTTTTGGGTGAGCTAGCTTCATTTGAACCCCCTCACCCCTGACCTGCTTCATTGATCCTATTTGAGTGTGTGGGAAGATAGAATATTCCTGACCACCATGGAGACCCTGTTCACAATCAGTCAAAACTCTCTCTCCTGCCACTGTTCCGTTCACAGAGCTCTTTGCTGTCCGACAGTCTAGGGTTGGAGTGAGGGGGGCTCGCTGCCAAGCAGAAGGAGTGCTGGCCTTACTTCCGCCTGACCTTTCTGTGACGGTCTGTGCTGTTGACCTCCTCTCCCAAACCTACGGATCCGTCCCAGGTTTCTCTTCTGCTGCATCCTCCTTGCCCATCCCTTTTTTGGTATTTAGTTTTAATTTTATTCTTTTTTCTCTCCATTTTTTTGTATATCATCTTATTAATTCTTATAGTTTTGATGATCACCTCAAACTGAAGACTTGCAAATATATATCTCCTGTCCAGGTCTCTCTCTCAACCTCCAAACCAATATACCCACCTCCTAGTGAATGTTGTCACACAGTCCCCAAATTTAGACCTTCATTCCCAAACAGCTCTGTTCCATATTTAACTTTATAGTGCCAATCTCTTCCTAATTTCTAAGCCAGAAATCTGGGATTCATTTTCATAGTGCCTCGTCTTACTCTCTACTTCTGTATCCAGTCGGTTACCACCTACCTTTAATTTCGCACAGATGTGTGTGCTCACCTCCACCTTTACCCGCACTGCTTCTGTGTAGTGTAGGGGCTAAGAGCTCTGGCTTTGAAGCCAGACAGGCCTGAGTTGAAATCCTGCCTCTGCTATTTGTAAGCTCTGAACCTTGGGTAAATTACTTAACCCCCCTGAGCTCAGATTTCACCTCGTAAAGTAGGGTTTATACTAGCACCCAGGTTACAGGTTTGCGTGACTATGAAATGAAATAATGCATGTAAAGACTTGGCCAAATGCAAAGTGGATGCTAAAAGTTAGCTGGTAATTAGTATGTTAATGATGATTATCATTTTAGTGATCACAACTGATTGTAATTATTCAGGTTATTGCCATTTCTTCCTCGCACCATTGTGGTACCCTAGTACAGTGATACCTCGGTTCTCGAACACCTCGGATTTCGACCAAATCGGTATTCGACCAGGAGATTCGAGAAACTTTTGTCTTGGAATCCGAACAAATATTTGGAACTCGAACTTCCGAGATGAGTCGAGTTGAGCCGAATGGCGTTCATTCGGCCCAGCGCGCCTTGCTTGCGTCACCAGTGTGAGTGCAGAGAGAGAGTCACGCTTTGTGGAGAGAGTCACGCTTTACACTGAATTTAACCCTTAGACATACTGTACACTTTTATTTCTTGTTGAGACTTATGTTTTTCTACATATTATATACAAATTAGGCCAGTAAATAGGCATTTTCTGGGGCTTGGAACGAATTAATCCAGTTTCCATTATTTCCTATTGGGTTTCATTGCTTCGGTTCTCGAACAATTTGGTTCTCGACCGTCCTCCTGGAACGAATTATGTTCGAGAACCGAGGTATCACTGTATATTAAAATAAAGTGGTTTGAAAAATGGATTGAGAGTTCATGTGAGACAGAAACCAACAGGACATACAGTGATACCTCGGTTCTCGAACATAATTCGTTCCAGGAGGACGGTCGAGAACCGAATTGTTCGAGAACCGAAGCAATGAAACCCAATAGGAAAGCGTGACTCCACAAAGCGTGACTCTCTCTCTGCACTCACACTGGTGACGCAAGCAAGGCGCGCTGGGCCGAATGAACACCATTCGGCTCAACTCGGCTCATCTCGGAAGTTCGAGTTCCAAATATTTGTTCGGATTCCGAGACAAAAGTTTCTCGAATCTCCTGGTCGAATACCGATTTGGTCGAAATCCGAGGCGTTCGAGAACCGAGGTATCACTGTATTTTTCTTTTTTTTATTTTATCCTCACCCGAGGACATTTTTCCATTTTTTTTTTGTACAGATAGAGTGGGAGGGAGAGAGAGGAAGGGAAAGAGAGACAGAAACATCGACGTGAAGGGACACATCGAGCGGCTGCCACCCGCACGACCAACCAGGGCCGGGGACAAACTGCAACCGAAGTACATGCCCTTAGCGGGAACTGAACCCAGGTCTCTCCAGACCGCAGGCCGACGCTCTAACCGCTGAGCCAAACCGGCCAGGGCATTTTAATATATTTTTCAAACATGATGATATTCCTCTGCTTAAAACTTTCTGATGGCTCCCAATCACTCATGGGATAGAGTTCTGATTCCTGACCTGGTCTTCGGAGCCTCACCCCCTGTGACCTCCCAGTCCCCTCCCTGATTTCCTTCTCCTCAGTATGCTCTGCAGTGTTACGCTGAGGAATCTGCAGTTTCTGGGTCCACATGCACATATACCCACTTTCCATAACTTGTCCACCAATCTTGTTCATTCTGCAAGATTGATTCAAGCATGTTTTCTCTGGGGAGCTTTTTCCCCCAGCTCCTCAGCCTCTCCTCAGCTGGTTGTTCCTTTTACTCTTTTGGGCAAAAGTTGGGTTTTCCAGAATTTACTTGTAAATATATCTGGTGTAAAACATGGCATTCTAATTCTGGCTTACTTAGCTGTGAAGTTCCTGACGTCAAGGACTGTTTCCTAGGCCCCTTGAAGCCCCAGAGCCTGGCACAGAGCAGGCACTGAACAGATGTGTGAGGGAAGGCTCACTCATCTAAGTCAGGTTAGAAGGGGAGGACGGGTGAATCACTGTATGCCTTGTGTTTTCCAGCGTGGAAAGCAGTATGAACTCTTTGCTGTGATTGCCCACATGGGGCTGGCCGACTTTGGGCATTACTGTGCCTATATCCGGAATTCTGTAGATGGAAAATGGTTCTGCTTCAATGACTCCAGTGTTTGTTGGGTGAGGAACATCATAAAAAATGGTCTCTTGCGCTAGGTTAGCTACCTCTACTATATTCTGAGCCCAGGGCTGGATGGGTCCTCAAGGGTCAAGCAAGCCATATCATGGCTCTGTTCTCTGTGGGTGGGACCTCTTATGAGTTTGGAAGCTGTTTTCTGCATGAAGTGCCCACCTGGTTTATAGCTCTCTAAGAGTCCAGGTTTTTGGGGTTGTAAGTTCAGTGCCCTGCAGCTTCAAGCTCTGTGGGAAGCTTATGGCAAGCAAGAAGTTAGAAATATGACATTAGAACTCTGGGCTGAGCATAACCACGTTTAAACAGAGGGACAAGGGTACTGAAAGAGACTTTGTAAATGCATCATCACAAATGCTGCAGGTCTTGGGAGTTCCTAGGGGTAGGTTTGTCTGGAGGAGCTAGGAACGGCCGATTGTAGCATCCTGTACTCTCTGGATGCTTCGCAGATATCAGCTGGATGCCTCACTTTGTATGTTATGTACTTCCAGGTGTCCTGGGAAGACATCCAGTGTACCTATGGAAATCATAACTGCCGCTGGTAAGAGAAGTGTTTGAGTGATGGGAACCCAATGAGCTTACAGCGGGTTCTTACTGCTGAGTGACACTCTCATGGATTCAAGTGCTACTGATATTTGCATAACTCCCCAGTGACTCACTGGTCAGCCTCATCTTCTAATGTCTAACCCACTGCACCATGATTTTCTCAAAATTTAGACTCTAGTAATAAGTAAAGAGGAAGTAGCTCCCCAAACACCATATCCCCTACTTGCTCTTTGTGGCTTTGCACACGCAGGTCCTGGCCAGTATTACTCTCTCTTAACTTATCATCAAAGCAAAGTCCCACCCATGCTCAGAACTCCTCTGCTCACGGCCTTTTCCTACTCTCTCAGGTCTGCACTGATTCACCTGGGCAGACCTGTAGGGGCTTCTCCTGGGCTTTCATTGCATTTTTAAAATTAATTAATTATTTTTTAATATGTTTTTATTGACTTTTTAGAGAGAGAAGAAAAGAGAGAGAGACATCAGTGTGAGAGAGACTTGATCAGCTGCTTCCTGTACGCCCCCTACTGGGGGTTGAGCCCACAACCCAGGCACATTCCTGACCAGGAATGGAACCAGGACCTCTCAGTCCATGGAATGACACTCAATCCACTGAGCCATACTGGCTGGGCTCCCTGCATTTTATATTATTTTATTATTTAAAAAAAATATTTTGTATTGGTTTTTATTTTATTTTTTTAATGTTTATTTTTGTTATAGATGTTTCTCCTTTTTCTCCCACTGACTCCCTCCTCCCAGTCCTGCCTCCTTGCCAGCATTATTGTCTATGTCCTTGTTTACGCATACATGAGTATAAGCTCTGTGTTTTATCTCTTCCCTCCATCACATCCACCTCCTCTGAGGTTTGTCAGCCCGCATGCCACTTTCATGTCTCTAGATCTATTTTGTTTCTCAGCTTGTTTTGTTCATTATATTCCACAAATAAGTGAGATTATGTGATAATTTGTCTTTCTCTGATTGGCTTGTTTTGCTTAGGATGATACTTTCCAGGTCCCCCCATGTCGTCTCATAGGATAAGAGATCTTTCTTTCTTACAGCTGCATAGTACTCCATTGTGTATATGTACCACAGTTTTTTTATCCATTTGTCTACTGATGCACACTTGGGCTGTTTCCAGATCTTAGCTATTGTAAATAGTGTACTATGAACATGGGGGTACATATATTCTTTCTGATTGGTGTTCCAGGCTTCTTAAGATATATTCCTAGAAGTGGGATCACTGGGTAACATGGAAGTTCAATTTTTAATTTTTTGAGGTAACACCATATTGTTTTCCATAGCGGCTGCACCAGTCTGCATTCCCACCAGCAGTGTATTAGAGTCCCCTTTTCTCCACACCCTCGCCAACGCTTGTTGTTTGATGATTTGTTGATGGTGGCCATTCTGACAGGTGTGAGGTGATACCTCATAGTTGTTTCAATTTGCATCTCTCTGATGATTAGTGACATTGAGCATTTTTTTTATATATCTCTTGGCCATTTGTATGCCCTGTTTGGAGAGGTGTCTATTTAGTTCTTCTGCCCATTTTTAAATTGGGTTCTTTATCTTCCTTTTGTTGAGTTGTATGAGTACTCTATATATTTTGGAAATTAGCCCCTTGTCTGATGTATCATGGGCAATTATGCTCCCCCATATAGTGGGTTCTCTTTCCATTTTGATGCTTGTTTGTTTTGCTGTGCAGAAGCTTTTGAGTTTGATATAGTCCCATGTGTTCATTTTTTCCTTTGTTTCTGTTGCCTTAGGCGATGTATCAGTGAAAATTTTGCTATGTATGATGTCTGAGATTTTGTTGCCTACAGTTTCTTCTAGGATTTTTATGGATTCATGAGTCACATTTAAGTTTTTTATCCATTTTGAGTTTATTCTTGTGTATGGTGTAAGTTGATGGTCTAGCTTCATTTTTTTGCATGTAGCTGTCCAATTTCCCCAACACCACTTATTAAAGAGTCTGTCTTTACTCCATTGTATGCTCTTGCCACCTTTGTCAAATATTAATTGAGCATAATGTCTTGGGTCAATTTCAGGGTTCTCTGTTCTGTTCCATTGGTCTATATGCCTGTTCGTGTGCCAGTACAGGCTGTTTTGATTACTTTGGCTTTGCAGTATAACGTGATGTCTGGTATTGTGATCCCTCCTACTTTGTTCTTTTTTTCAAGATTGCTGTAGCTATTCGTGGCCTTTTTTGGTTCCATATGAGCTCGTTGCATTTTAAACATACTTTCTTTATGGAAAGGGTCATACTTTTTTGTAAGTGTTTGCTTACATAACTTTCACATTAGACCACAAACTCTTTGGGGGCAAGGATCACTCTTTCTCTCTTTGTCTGGTGCAGTGGCATGTATTTAGTAAATATCAATAACTGTATTTTTAGAAATCAATAACTACAGAGGGGACTCTGGAAAGGAAAAAAGCTGGGTGAAATTAAATCAGAGACTTTGTAAGTTTTCCCAGCTGAATTTCTGGGTTAAGGGTGACATTGTATACCAGAGGTGATATTTGAGATGATTTCAGCTGCAGAAGTAGGCCAGATCATTTGAAAAATAGCGAATTAGGTGAAATTTATGTTTGAAATCCTCCTCCAATGTTCTTTTTTCTTATAACCACCTCACTTGGATGCTCACCCTTTGTCACTTTCTGGTTGTCAGTGACTCCCCCATTATTTAAGTCACAGTTTGACAAACTTTCTCTAGAAAGAGCCAGAGAATAAAAATGTTAGGCTTTGTGGGCCACACAGTCTCTGTTGCAACTATTTAACCTGATCTTTGTAGCCAGAAGCAGCCACAGATGACATATGAATGAGCATGGCTGTGTTCCATTTAAATTTATTTGCAGAAACAGGGTTGGACTTGACTAGTGGGTTCTTAGTGTTCAGATGTTAACTAACTGCAGTTTAGTGGATATTTTCCTAGGTCATGCATTTTGATTTCCTGTGATGGATAGATGAACATTTTATCCAACAACCTGGAAAGTTTGCTGACGTTTGTCCTACTGTAAATTAATAATATATCAATTAACTATGAATGTTTCGTTTCTGCTACAATGTTGCATTTTCTTTCTTTCTAGGAGGGAAACTGCCTATCTTCTGGTTTACATGAAGACTGAGTCCTAATGGATGTACCCTAAATCTTCAGAGACTGATAAAGTATCATTTTCCTTTCTTTCTTTTTTTTAATCCCCATCTGAGGACATTTTTTGATATTTTGTTCAGATGGAGTGGGAGGGAGAGAGAGAGAGAGAAACCTCCATGTGAAAGGGATGCATCGAGTGGTTGCCACCTACACAACCCAACCAGGGCCAGGGACAAACCGCAACTGAGGTGCGTGCCCTTAGCGGGAACTGAACCTGGGTCTCTCTGTACCACAGGCCAGCACTCTAACCGCTGAGCCAAACCAGCCAGTGCTCATTTTCCTTTCTTATTCCTGAATCTGCCCTTTTAAGATATTTTGCAATGAGAAGCACCATTTTCAAATTGTATAATTAAACTTTATTTATAATTGGGGTATCAAAATTTTTAAGAGTGATACTGCATAGGTCTTGGTCAGTCAGAATGGATACTTCCACCAGTGGACCCTGCCACATGGTTGGAGCAGTGTCCTGTGTGTTCCCTGCAGTGCAAAACATTCATCTGTTAGTTGGGAGATTGTGGGAGTCCAGATGCTTTCACGGGGGTGGGGGTGAGGCCTGTCTAGCAGTGGTAGTAGGAAGCATTCAGGTGGCAAGGGGCAGTGGTAGGGAATTATTTAAATATTTTACAAGTGTGATTGTACTGGTATGTACTGGCTGAATATAACTTCTATTTATAATTTTTAAATTTATTTTTAAAACCTATGTTAACTTCATAAAACTCAACTGTCTTATATTTGTTATTCATTTATGTGACAAATATGTATTGCTCACCCAATTTCCATAAGATTGCATGCTAGGTAAAATAATGAATAAAGTTTTTTCTCTCAAAAGCATTTGCAGTTTAATGGATAGTAATGAAAATACATAAGATATTGAGTGTTTGTGCAATAGGAATTCAAAGACGGAAATCACTTCCATTGTGGATCCATGGGAGAATTCTTCAGACTGGAAAAGGGCTTAGGGTGGAGGACAGTCCACTTACAGGGAAAAGCATACTCAGTGTCATGGTTGAAAAAGGCAAAGCTCAAGGTTCAGAGATTGTCTGTGAACCTTGCTTTGAACCAAGGGAGCAAGTGGTGAGTGATAATGATGGCAGGTAGGTGGGGCTCAGAATGTAGAGGGTCTTGAACTGAACCAAAAAGTTTGTATTTAGTTTAACTGGTAATTAGAAATTGTTGAAGGGCCTCACAAAGGAAAGAAACATGTATGTAGTATTCTAGTGAACCGAACCTGCTGGGGCTGGAGACACGGACAGCAGCAGGGATGGTAGGGTGAGGGGAAAGCCACTACAGCGTTGTACAGGAAGGATGGATGCGGACAGTGAGAGAAGAAGGGTCCAGGGAGGTTCCAACACCAACCTGGGAAGTGAAGAGGGTGGATGCTAACATTTCCGTTTTATAGATAGAAGTGATTGAAAACTTCATATATGTAATGACTTGTCCAAGATTTCATACTTGATAAGTGGCAGAGCTGAAAATTCCAACATAAAATATGGGTGACTTTAAAAAACAACAACACACATCTTTATTGTTGTATTACAGATGTTCCTCCTTTCCCCCTTATTGACCCCCTCCTCCTCGCCCCCACCCCCCTCCTGCCTTCGCTTCGAGGTATGTCAGTCTAACAACTAATTTGTACTTTTTAATCCCTTCACCTTTATCACCCATTCCCCCAACCCTCCCTCCCATCTAGCAACCAAGTAAATGTTCTCTGCATCTATGAGTCTGTTTCTGTTCTCTTTGTTCATTTTGTTTGTAGAGTCAGTTGTTGATAGATATGTATTTATTGCCATTTTGTTTGTTAATATTTTTTATCTTTTTGTTCAGGAAGACCCTTCAACATTTCATACTGGTTTGGTGGTGATGAACTCCCTTACCTTTTTCTTGTCTGGGAAACTATATGGCCATCGATTCTAAATGATAGCTTTGCATGATAGAGTATTCTTGGTTGTGGGTTCTTGCTTTTCATCACTCTGAATATTTTGCCACTCCCTTCTGGCCTGCAAAGTTTCTACTGAGAAATCAACTGACAGCCATATGGGAACTCCCTTGTAGGTAACTACCAGCTTTTCTCTTGCTGCTTTTAAGATTCTCTCTTTGTCTTGAACCTTTTGCATATTGATGATGATGTGTCTTGATGTGGGCCTCTTGGGGTTCATCTTGGGACTCTCTGTGCTTCCTGGACTTGTATGTCTGTTTCCTTCATCAAGTTAGGGTTGTTTTCTGTCATTATTGTTTCAAATTAGTTTTCAATTTCTTATTCTCTCTCGTCTCCTTCTGGCACCTCCATGATGCGAATGTTGGTACACTTGAAGATGTTGCAGAGGCTCCTTACACTATTCTCATGTTTTTTGTATTTTTTTTTCTTTTTGCTGTTCTTATTGGGTGTTTTTTGCTTCCTTATATTCCAAATTGATGGTTTGCTTCTTGGCTTTACCTACTCTACTATTGAATCTCTGTAAATTATTCTTTATTTCATTTAGTGCATCCTTTATTTCTGACTGGTTCCTTTTTCATGCTTTTGAGGCCCTCACTAGGTTCCTTGAAATTTTCACTAAATTCATTGAACATCCTTATAACCTGTGTTTTGAACTCTGCATCTGTTAGATTGGTTATCTCCATTTTGTTTACTTCTTTTCCTGGAGTTCTGTTCTATCATTTGGGAGATGTTTCTTTGCCTCCTCATTTTGGCTGACTCCTTGTGTTTGTTTCTATGTATTAGGTAGAGTTGCTGTGTCTCCTGGGCTTCCTAGTAGGTGTCCTGTAGGGTCCAGTGGCATAGCCTCCCTGATCACCCCAGCTGGGCCTCGAGGTGAACCCCTCATGTGGACTTTACATCCTTCTCTTGTAATTGAGTCTTGGTTGCTGTTGGCACATCAATGAGAGGGTTTTACTCAGGTTGATCAGCTGCAAGGACTGGCTGTTCCCACTGGCCATTGACCTCTGACTACCTTGGAGGATCAGCTGTGTAGGGGCTCACCACCCAGAGCAAGACTTACTTCAGCAGGGCTCTGGTACCCACTGAGTCCACTCACTGAGTGTGTCACTTGTGGAGGTGGTTGGATGGTGGTGCTTCGCAGTGTTCTGAAGCTGTCCACTGGGTGTGCTGGCTCTGGGGCAAGGTCAGCCACTGCCTGTGCTCTATCTGGGGCCACCCGGCATAAGCTACAAAGTGATCTGCAGATGGCTGCTTCTAGTGCTGGGCTTGGAGGTGCACAGGCAAAGCCAAGTTGTGAACCAAGGCTGGCTACTCCTAGTGCCGGGCCTGGGGCCACTTAGCAAGAGGTATGATGAGGCTCACTGAGGCCAGATGCTGCTTGTTTGAGAGATTTTAGGCAAGTCTGAAGCAGGATCCAAGATAGGCCAATCCTATGGTAAAGCCTTTGGAAACAGCTTGGGTGGGCCTGAAAGTTGGGTGGGGCGAGGCCTCAGGGATTCACCAGGGTGGGGCCAAAAATGTGAGCCAGGTTGCTGGAGTCCCAGAAATGGCAGCTGTCTGCTGCCCAGGGGAAGGGCTCACCAAAGGAACAAAGGCCTCAGACAGCACCTCTGTCCAGGAGAAAGCTGCCCGTCCAGCCCTCGCCCCATTGCCGAACAACTCAGTTCTTGCCCGTATGTCTCTGGTGCCTTTCAAGCTGCCTCCCACATGCTGGAGCTCAGAGGGAGTGAGTTGGATAAGTCCATGTGCGGGCCCTTTAAGAGGAGCTGCCTGGGGCTCCAGCAGCCTCAGCCTCCCTGAGCCTCTGTTCCCACTGGTTTTACAGCCAGAAGTGATGGGGATTCTCTTTCTGGCACTGGAACCCTGAGCTGGGCACCTGGTGTGGGACAGGGACCCCTCACTCCTCAGGGAGGACCTTCCTAGCCGAGGTGTCCTCCTGATTTTTATCTGCCACACGTGGGTGTGGGACCAGCCCGTCTGCCTCCACCCTCCTACCAGTCTCCTTGTGGCTGCTTCTTTAATTTCGTAGTTGTAGGACTTCCATTCAGTGGAAGTCCTGACACACTTCTGCTCGGTGTCAGGCGGTTCTGAATGATGGTTGTTCTGTAGTTTAGTTGTCATTTTGATGGGGTTGTGGGAGGAGGTGAGACCATGTATACCTACCCGCCATCTTGAAGTTTTTCTGGGCGACTTCTTTAAAAAAAAATTTTTTTTCCTTTATTGATTTGAGAGAGGGAGGGAGAAGGAGAGAGAGATAGAAACATCAAGATAAGGTCCTGCTATAAGTGGCCTGCAAAGCTTTTTGGCTTTGTTTAATTTTCCTGCCTCAGTTTCCCTATTCCACTTGTCCCAGAATTTTCCTATCTTTTCGTTGTCCTGTAACATAATTATTGTTAAACAGGTATGTCTTAGTTTCCTAGAGCTGCTGTCACAAAATGGGTGACTTAAAACAACAGAAATGGATTCTCTCATGGTTCAGAAGGCCAGAAGTCTGAGGTCAATGCGTCGGCAGCATTGGTTGTTTCTAGAGACCCTGAGGGAGAATCTGTTTTAGGCCTTTCTTCTAGCTTCTGGTGATGCCTGCAATCCTTGTCATTCCTTGTCATGCCAGTCTCTGCCTTCATCTTCATGTGGCCTTCTTCCTGCACATGGCTTTCATATCAGGACACAAGCCATTGGGTTTAGGGCCCACCATAATCCAATATGACCTCATTTTCATTGGGCTAATTACCTTGGCAAAGACCCTATATCCAAGTAAGTTCCGAAGTTCTGGGTGGATATGAATTTTGGGGGCACATTATTCAATAAAAATGAAAGGTATATATCCCTCTAGTCATTTTTATATAAATTTGCATACATGTATATCACAGCTACAAGTAATTTTTCATGTGTCAGATGAACTCAAAAAGACTCTGAAGGCTTTGCCAGAGATAAATGATAGAGATTTGGCCAAGGGTCTTAGAGTTTGCAAACAGAAATACAGCTAGGCTAAAACCCAAAAGTGTCCAAAGAAAAGAGAAAAAAGTTCTGATTAAAAAAAGTGGGTGGTAGAGTGAATGGAAGCTACACAGACTATCTCCTAGGACCAAACTGGAATTACAACTAAAATAAAGACAAATCATTGGGAAAAACAACAGTTAAGCAGCTGGAGA